TTTTAGGTCGGTAGGGCGTTCAATTTATGTGGAACTAGTATATTAGAACCAGTTGATACTGAAGTTTAGTGTCATATGATGACTAGCGATTTTTACTTGGTTGNGATAAAACATCACTGATGATTGATTTATTGGATGAGTCCAATAAACCGTATCCCTGTTCTTAATGGAATGGCTGCGTTTTTCTGTCTTTAGATTGGAGTCAGCTTTAGGTTTGAGAATGGAGGACATATTTTTGAATCTGTGAATTTCATTTTTGTTATCATATTCATTCTCAGGTACTTCAAAATGGTACCGTTCTACGATTGCTCGGTGTACAGAGCAGTCAAGAAGGACGATATTCGTGTACCGCATCGAACAAGGTTGGACGAGCCGAGGCTGATACTTTCCTTCAAATCACAGGTATTCATCCGCTAAAGTCGTTTCCTCTGCTTATTAAGGAGAATCAACTTTTGCTTTTTTCATTCATCCAAAATGAGTAACGATACGCGGATATTATTGTTCAATATCTGTTGCTGAAGATACTATTTTCCTCTGAGGTGCATTGCAACCTATGCATGTGCCTGGGTAATCGTTCAGCAATTACTCCAGTTCGCTTAGGCATATTTTAGGTCGGTAGGGCGTTCAATTTATGTGGAACTAGTATATTAGAACCAGTTGATACTGAAGTTTAGTGTCATATGATGACTAGCGATTTTTACTTGGTTGGGTGACTGTTCTTCTCATTAATTATCATTGTTACTGTTAAAGATGCATTATCCGTGATTAATAAATTCAGCACCACCGCGAATAATAACACCATCAGACGAGTTGAAAGTGATCGCCGGTCACGGTCAAACGATACGATGTGAAGTGAGCGGAACGCCATCACCACGCGTTGAATGGCTTAAAAACAACAAGAAATTTGATGCGGCTATGGCACAAGCATCAAGCAATCTGCATTATATCCATTTCAGGTTCGAATTGTCATCCTTCAGCCGTATGAAGACCTTATAACTTTTGTATGTTTCGAGCAGTTTCGGACGTTAAACTCTGTGTGATTTGTTCGCAGACTCAATTGTTTCGAAAGAAAAATTACGCATTTCGTCAACTACATTTGAGCAATGATCACAATTGAATATCGTTTCATTTTCTGTCTTTGATGGAAGGAGTTGAAGTGCCATTCCTGTGTAATTTTGAATCGTAGTTTACATAAACGATTGAATCACAAACGAGC